CACCAACATGACATGACGGGAAAACCATCACAAGATGACCAGGACACCATCACAACATGACCGGGACACCGTCACATGACCCGGACACCATCAAAACATAACCGGCACACCGCCAAAACATGACCAGGACACCATCACAACAGGACCGGGACACCATCAAAACATGACCGGGACACCGTCACAACACGACCGGGACACCATCAAAACATGACCGGGACACCATCACAACATGACCGGGACACCATCAAAACAGGACCGGGACACCATCACAACATGACTGGGACACAATCAAAACATGATCGGGACACCATCACAACATGACAGCGCCACCATCACATGATCGGGACACCATCAAAACATGACCGGGACACCGTCACAACACGACCGGGACACCATCAAAACATGACCGGGACACCATCACAACATGACCGGGACACCATCAAAACATGACCGGGACACCATCAAAACACGACCGGGATACCATCACAACATGACTGGGACACAATCAAAACATGATCGGGACACCATCACAACATGACCGCGCCACCATCACATGATCGGGACACCATCAAAACATGACCGGGACACCATCAAAACATGACCGGGACACCATCACAAGGTGACCGGGACACCATCACAACATGACTGGGTCACAATCAAAACATGATCGGGACACCATCAAAACATGACCGGGACACCAGCATCACATGACCCGGACGCCATCAAAACATGACCGGGACACCATCCGCCCACCAGCTCTGACGGTGACCCGACGGCGCCCGTCCGCCTATTAGTTTTGCAAGACCCCATAGCATGGCTATTGGGGAAAAAGCTTCTCCAGGGCGTATCCCATCACCTCCCGAGTCCCTTCGCTTTTCGCGAAGATTCCACACGGAATCTTGGACCATTTCACCATGGCGTGAAACACCGTCTTCCCTGGGGCTGAGGCCACTGGAAACCTGGCAGCACAAAACCACCGGGCCGATCCAAGGAACATTCTTCCACGTACTCTTCGTTTTCATCGTAGGTCAGGAGGCAAGCAGAAGATTGAGGTCGTAGACCGGGCACTTTCACTGGAGAGAAAAGAACTCTCCAGGAGCAGTCCTGTCAAATGCTCAAAGGTCTGAATCTGTAGAGCATATGGATGCAATGTGGGGAAAACCGGTTAAGAGGATTGCAATCTGTACAAACCAGCAACGTCAAACACGTTCGCGTCGGTCCAGCAAAGCAGCCACTGCGCCACCCTGCGAGAAGCCCACGGCGCCCACGGCGTTCACGGCGCGGACGTTGGGCAGCGTCGCAGTGAGGGCCTCGTAGTTCCTCTGCCAACCTCAAGGGGTTGAGGATCAGATCAAGGCCAACCTCCAGGCCAAACCACTCCCAAGATCCATGAATCTGCATTCCAAACAGAACGAAAACGCCCGCCCGCGCGCCTGTCTCAAAGTCACCCGAGCCCCACCACCTCACCCAAACTCGATGAATTCCCAGCCAACCCAAAAAACCAGCAAATGCCCCTATAGAGCTTCTCAAGTGAAATTGCGAAAGAAAGTGCAGAAAACGATTGAACCGAGGAGTTCCAGAGGGATGCCCTCCAATGGGGTGCCCATGATACACTCATGGGCAAAGCTTGGGATCTAAAATCTAAAGACCCTATGATCCCTATGGAACTCCTGGAACTACAGATTCGAGCTTTGGACCCCGGCTCTCGACCATCTGAGATGTGAGGTGCAGCAGGGCCAGTGCCCAGACGCGGCGAAGTGAGGAAGACCCACTCCATCATGCCCAAATGACCTGTCACGACCCATCGGCCAAGATCAATGCCAGGTATGGCCCACAGCCGTGCCCAAACAGATCCGGAAAGGACCGAAAACCCGAGCTCCAACGATCGGAAAGGACCGCCCAACGAAGGATCCGTCCTCCCCAACCTGTTCCAACGTCCAAACATCGAATGGCCAAGCATTCGCCGGCGCGGCTGATCATCGGACCCATCTGGGCGGCGAGGGCGTCTCCGTTGGAGCGGAAGCCGTGGAGACACACCACCCGAGGGCGTGGCACTTCGGGCCTCGGGCGGGGCACTTCGGGCCAGGGGTTCTTCAGTGGGGAAATATGGGGATTACATGGGGATCCCGATTCCATGTTCCCAGATGGAAAGGTGAATGTAAATGGATGTAAATGGATTCCGCGGTGCAAAGGTAAATCTAGGTTGATATACCCTCTCAATAGATGTGTGGGAAGTCGTTTCAATTAAGTCCATGTTCAAGTGCCAAGTATAAAGGCGAAGTGGTACGAGCTATTGGGGACAAGTGATCATAGCCTGAGAAAAGTCTCAGGCTAGCTTAGTCTCAGGGTCCTCGCATGTATCTTGGTGTGAAAGCAAAGCTAAGGGCAGGGCAGCGGTCCGCCAGTGAAAGACTCGAGTAGCTTGCCTCGGGTCGTCATTCTCTTCCTTTTAGCCATGCGATGCCTGTAGCCCCACGCGGCTTCAGCTGCTCAGTGTCTGGCGTGGTGTTGGATTGTCGGAGAGGTCTGCCACAGTGATGACCTCGACCAATTGAACAGTGCAGCAGACTGAAATCCGTTCTTGCTGTATGTGGTGTGGCTTGGTCAGACCGACCTTGTTGACCTTTGAGGACAATCTCCTGGCCAGTGAGATGAGGCTCAAGGAGTCCAGACCTGGAAAAAAAACACGTTCAGCGGCACATGTTCAGCGGCAAGCACGTACCTTGTTTTGGTGTTGACCTGTTCGTCATCCTTCATCTATATTCATCCTACTCAGCTCACTCGGCCTCACTTGATCTTACTTGGCTCACTCCTCTCCTTTTCATTTGCGGGCATTGTCAGGTGAAAACATCGGGAAGGTGTTGCAAAGCAACTGCCGTTTTGATCGGAGTTGGCCATGGAAAGCTGGAGCAGGCATGTGCTGCTCGTCCAACATTCTGGTTGCACACGGAATGACAATCTGAATCGATGGGCTCCGTCGCACACACAGATCCACATGGATTGGTGGTAGTTTGACACAGCGCCTGGGTCGACATGTGGGGATACGTCTTTGAGAGCTTCTGGCAGTGCCGTGTCCACGCTTGACCTGCCGTGGTGCCCCAAGACTGCTTCTGCAACCAGCTCCCCAAGGCAGAACCGCCGATGTCACAGCGAGTGCTGTGACACTGCAAACACAGGTCGGAAGGTTGCTGGAAGGCTGGGCATGGACAATTCTCATCTCCTACTTCATTGTTCTGGCCACAAGCCACAAGTAGCAGAGAAGAGAGCACGGCAACTCTCGCCATGACCGGCCCTGCCGAGTCACCACACGTGCCCCACCTGGCTTGAGCCCAAGTCCCCCGAGCCGGTGCGATTTCGCATGTGACATTCGAGACACTCATCGCAGGACTGGCCTGAGTGCCCATGTGCGCTCGCACTTGGTTGCAAAGTGTGGAGGCCATCGCTACTAGGAACAAGGATGCTACTAGGTGGAGGCCATCGCTATTAGGTTGGAGGTCATCACTTCGTGTCGGGTGCCGCGCGTGCCGCGCGTGCCGCCTGCATCTTCGAAGGTCGTGTCCATCTCGATGGGGCCCGCCATCTCTTCGACGATGCTGAAGAGCCAGCCACCTCAAGATCCATTCCGACTCAAGTGAGGGACCCCTGAAACGACCGCTGAAACGACCTCAAAAGCGGACACAGAAAGACACCCTCCCAAACACTGGACGCCCTCCCATGCTGCTACGCCGTCGGCAACGACTTGCTCAGGGCTTGACGCAAATCGCCTTCAGGTTCGTCTTCGGATGTGATGATGAGTCCTCGTATGGTGCGCAGGGTCTGGTGGAAAATGATGACTTTGAGTTGTTTTCAAGCAAAAGCTCTGGCACGACCACGAAGGTTTCCAACTCTGCCTCAGACTCTGCTCGATTGGATCGGATGCAGTTCAGTCGGCTGTATTCAGTCCTCCCAAGGTGAGCCACTCGTCTAAATTGCTCGGAGGCTCCCATTGAGGGAGCACAATGCAGCCAGCCTGGCGGAACACTCGGCTTTTGCCGCACAGCGCAGAGCTGAGGACATCACCCGCTCTTGAGCGTAGCAGTTGAAAAATAGATATTGATGCCTTTTGGGATTACCCCCATCAATGTCCAGTATTGCAAAATGCAGGCAATGGTCCACTTTCAATCAAGAAAGGGAATCTGGATGGGGTTGGTCCCTTTTGGTTTTGCAAGCCTTTGATCAATTCAGAAATACTTCAAGCAGCTCATCGTCAAAGTACCTTTACAGAAGATTTGTGGGCTGCTCATATGCTGTCTCTGATAAGCCTGTTGTCTGGATAAGTGAATTCGATATTACTTGCTAGTACAACTATATACAGTACATGAATCTATGAAAATCATGAATGCTACTCTTCGTGAATCTCCGGATTGGCAAGCCGGCTGCATCAGGCTACTTGGTTGCATGGCCTCTGGGTTCAACTCCTTTAGCACAGCTGCTACAGATCTGGAAGTGGTGACAACCTTAGTGGACATGGGATTTAACCTGCGTTGTTGCAGCTGAATCAAATTTAGGGAGATCAAATTGAGGTTTCCAGTCTACTAGGATCTTCCCAGTGACACCCCCCGTTTCGGGTCAAGAACCATCTGCAACAGGGAAAATGTCCTGTCCTGAGGGGAGAGAAAAAACCAAAAACACTTCGGTGCGTTTCTTTTTTGTTCTGCATTCATACGCTCAGTTCGTGGCCATCTGCGCTTGGTGCAGGTTCTCCGGGACGTCTTCGAGGCACTGCACACAATGCACAATCATGCCACCTAAAGAGTCAGCGGTGAAAAACGATGAAAACATATCCAAAACGCTTCCTTTGGGATCTGCATCCCGCATGCCGGAGCGACCGGGACCAGCGAGCGACCCACGGTGAAACTAGTAGCGTTCTTGCTCCTAGTAGCGATGCCCTTTGCTCCTAGTAGCGTTCTTGCTCCTAGTAGCATGTTCCGAAACAGCGACGCTGAGAACGATGCCTTCTTCTGTGCCGGCAGCCCGCAAAGATTGCGTGACGATATCCTTACTTGGTCGAAAAAGAACATCCCCACCCACAAGCGCCGATAGAACGTTGGAAGGGTTCGTTGTGGTTTTCCCTCTTCAGCTGAAGATTCACCGTCCAAGCTTCTCCAGTGGGACCCACCACTTGAGGCCGCCTGGGCAGCACAGGGACGCCATCCTCAACCGCCACCAAGACCTTGCCGATGTGGATGCCTTTGGCAAAGTATTCCAAGGCACCTTGGATTTCCAGACAGCATTACGCGCCTGAAAAAATGCGAGCGATAAATATAGGCGATTCACTTTTAGGTATCTTTTCATATACATGTACTCTTAAGTTTGAGATATATTTTATATAGAGAGAGAGAGAGATTGATATAATTGTCCAGACGGGTTTTTTTGAGACGGTTTTACGAAATCCCTCATGTCAATCAAATTTAAGTGTATGTTGCGTGGCTTTGCACGCCTGCCTTCGCCCTGGTCCTGGTCTCCTGCTCTGGGCCTGGGGTCACTTTTTTTGCTTTGCCAGGTTGAAGCAGTTGTTGCCTAGGCGAAATGTGAAGAATTTTGCATCAACTGCTTTATGGTCGACATGAAGGAGTGGTTGGAAAATTTAGAAATGGAGGATGACTTAACGTTTTTCCGTTTATTGTTTCTTTTTCTGTGCTTGTCTTGCTCTTCCTTCCTTCTCACTGCTTCTCTGCTTTTCTTGCGTTTCCTGCTTTTCTGTGCTTGTCCTGCTTTTCGTGCTTTCCCGTGCTTTGCCGTGCTTGTGTTGATTTTCCTTGCTTTTCATTGTGCTTCTTTGTGAATCATCTTTTTTTCCTTGCTTTTGCTGCTTTTTGTGCCTTCTTTCTTGCTTGGTGTGCTTTTCCTGCTGTTTCTCCGTGTTTTCCCCTTCTTCTCGTCTTTTTGTAGCGTAGTGAGGGTTGTAAGGAGAATCTGAACCCGTGCCCTCTACATTGTGGTTTATCCGAATTCCTTTCACGCTGGAATATAGTTGGCATGTAATCAAATCAAACAAGCCACAGTACTTAGCGGCTGGCATGTTGCAACATATGAGCTGCACATAGACAGGAACAGAAAGGCTGCTGCAGCAACCCCACGATCACTCACAGCACACATGGGGCACGCGTGACGCTTGCTCCAACGTACACAGTTGTCGTTTCCAGCCGGCAAATGCACTACATGTTCTGGAAATTCATGTCATACTAAGCCTGGAAAATTACAATGGCTTTGAAAAACAGTTATCTATCCATTCGCAACATGTTTAATATGGGGCGTATTTCGCCTATGTTCCTTTTACATCATCTATAATACTAAAAATAATATATATTATATAAGTCCTGTTGTTTCTGCAGCCAACCTATACTGTTTTGTCATTGTATTTTCGAGCTACAAAACCAATGTATGAGTTCTACGTTTTATAGCCTATAGAATACTAAGAATAACAGATAAGTCCGGCTGTTTCTGCAGCAGTTAAAAATCGGAAAAAAGGAAGTACAGTATATGTTGCAAACGTACGCAGTTGTATTTTCAAGCGTGCAAGGACCTTGTATGTGTTTCGTCATTGGAACTGGAACTTCGAATATAATGTCGTATGTTCTTGAACTCAAGCGTGTGTTCTTGAACTCAAGTTACGCATTCATCGCATATAATCTTTGCCGTCGAAACAAGGGTGAATATTCTCTGCCAATGTATACAATGGTACTTTTCAGCTACAAATCCAATGTATATGTTGTACCGTTTGTAGCGTATGTAATAATACATAAGTCTGGCTGTTTCGGCAGCACTTGAACAATAACCTTTGCCAACATAAACCCTTGCGATTGAAACATGGACGTATATTTCGCCAACATACACAGTTCTATTTTCGAGCCTGCAAAAGCACTGCAGGTTGTGGAAAAACATGTAATAATTACTCGGCTTGGTAGTTACAATGCTTTTAAAGTTTAGAAAAACACAACAAAATAATTGCGTTTGTCGTCAAAAATACAAATGTTCATTTCGAGCAAGATGTGTTCACGAACTCGCGTGGTCAGGAAAATGTGTTCACCGTTCCATTTTACTTTCTTGGTCAACGTTTTGAGCGTCAGTGTAGTGTGTGTTTGAGCTCAGCATTCCAAATTCGCTGTGATCTGCACTCAGTCCCAAGTCAACTTCGGCAGGAACATAAATATATACACTGTGAAAGAAACATCACAAAATGCAGATCCAGACATGCCAAATCCACCTTTGAGCTCGGCCATGCCAAAGGTCTTGGTGGGCAAGCGCGGCAAGTTGGGCAGCTCGGCCCAGACCTCGAAACCATGAGTTCACTCAAAGAAACACTGCATAATGTGTTTGCGACTCATGGAGGGCACTCCATTTTGTTACAAAAGTTGATTGCAAACCCATGAGTTCACTGCATTGGCCCTTCCCATACCTGCCATGCCACCTGAATCTATTCTCTATGTTTTTGGTACTTCCATGCGGGCATCCATCCCATCGCGCTGGAACCGCCGTCGCCCTCCCAGCCGGTCCGTGCCTCCTCCAGCAGCCGCCGGCACTCATTAGGGCGTTTTAACATGAGAACGTCGAAGTGGGCCGCGTGATAGGAGATGCCTGGTGTTTGGGCATGAAAAAGACGGGAAAATAAGACGGCTCCGGAGGCCAGATGCTGTTGCCGTGCTTTTTGCTTTATGCTTTGAAACTTCAGACATTCTTGAAGCTATTTAGGTCTGAGTCTGATAGATTAAGGTTTACCTCAGATCTACGAGCTAGCAATTCTGAAGTGGTCATGTTCTCATGTTCTCCCAGCCTTTCAAGAAGGGAGTCAGCTCCATTTGAGTGCCTTCATACTGGTCGCGTTTGCCAATCTCCACAAATCGCCCAAAGTCGCGCAGCCTCGACACGCAAACGACTCTCTCGGCCTGTTCTCAGGACTGAGGAAGATCAGCGCCCTTGAAAAGTGTACCTTTTTGATTTAAAAACACTTAGAGATACCCACAGAGTGGCCTTAGAAGAAAGAACAGACCTTGAAGCCGAAACATCACATGTTCGCCTGTTCCATCCGGCCAAAAAAAACAAGAGAGGCCCGTTTGGCCCGTTTGAAGCGTTGGACTTCTTCGACCGTTTGGCGGATCTTCCGCGTTCGATCAAAGTAACAGGTTCAAAGATGCGGGGATCGCTTTGCCACTGAGAGAGTTGAGCACCACATCCACCCCTTCGCCGTCCGTCGCCTGGCCGGAACGCGATTCGGGCACCGTTGAGATCTTCGAATGCCCAAGCGAAAGCGCTCGGGCTTCTTTTCAGGAACTACTCTTTCGGGGGCAGAGCGAAGTTCAGCAGTGTAGTTGGAGCTTGTTTGATACATAAGTATATGCGGTTATATAAAAGTTTTTTTTGTACATAGTTATACCCCCAATTGGCTTTCAGCGGTGGCGCCTCCAGAATGCCTTCCTCAAAGTCAGCAACTTTCCTGCTGTGGAACACTTGCGCACCCAGTTGCCGCAAAAGTGCTCGCTTTTCCTGGATTCAACAGCAAAGCAAAGACGCAAGTCCCTGTTGCGAACAAAAACTTCAAGACAGAGCAACCCCCGCAACTTCGAGTGGCCTCAGTGGAAGCTGTTGCATATACTTCGCAGCCCACCTGAGGCAAGGACGCGATTGAGGCAAACACCAAAGTGTATTTCAATCATTCATGTGTTGCCTTTTTTCTTCGCTTAGTCCTGCTATACCCCTTCCCTCTGAGCACTAAGTCCCTGAGAGACCAAACTTCTCAAATCAGGGTCGCTGTTGACTGGGGTGACTCATCGGTCTGTTTCCTCGGTGTTCTGTTCTGCCTCACCTTCTTGCACAGGTGCACCGCCGCCAGCCCCACGCCACCGGCCGCGCTGTGGATCAGGACCTGACGCGGGCGGAAACGCCGTCACGGACGGAAACACCGGAAGCGGACGTCGTCCTGGGCGTCCCGGACGCGTTCACCTGCACGGATGCGTGCCATCCAGTGCAAGGCCAACCAGGCTGTGGCATAGGCGCAGGTGCCTGGCGCAGGTGGGCAAACACATCCAAACCGTACTGGCACGGCGGGGGTTGATCGGCAAAAGGACGCAAGAGTCGCAAGTCATATCATCTGAGCAACATGCTTTCCTACTGCCGCGGGAGATCTGCAAGCTCGAAACCTTCAGCACTTTGACCAGAATGGCCGCTGAGAAAGGCTGTACTACAAGAGAAGAGAAACACATGGAAGGTCAAATTGCGTTCTTCACCATCCTTTGGTCGCCCCATTCCCACGTCTGGAAAAATGATAAAAATATGAAAAAAATATCTGTTCGGGTCTGACAGACTTCACTTGCCCCCGGACACCCCTTCCATCCCTTTCCCACCTGCCAAGAAAAAGGATGAAAAGGCGGGTTTGGATGGGTTGGAGGCCATCGCTAGTAGGTTCAAACAGATTTAAGGTTTCAGGCGCTAAAAAACACCAGACCTCCCCACCGATTCCGCCTGCGACGGCCTCCTCCGGGCTCATGGACTCGGGAGCTTTGGTCACCACACGCGCGTCCGCCACAAGGTAGGAACCTTTGGAAAACTGTCACTCTGTGACTTAGCATGACTTAGTGGCAGCTTTGACTGTGAAGAATGGTTTTTGCTTTCCGCATCTTGTAAGCAGCTTCAGCAAGGCATCCGCAACCAATGTCTGAACACCACAATATGCGAGCAACCCATGCCATCTGGAGGTGTTGCAATGACCACGTCGCCAACGGCCAAATCAGTTACACCCTCGCCTGTGCTTGGAGAGACAGGACTTCTCTCCAACGCTTGGATCTTCAAAGCAAGAACCGGTTGGGAAATGAAGGATCAAGAGATACACAAACATGTCACACAAACCTTGGGTCTATCCGTCTATCCTATTGCCAGCAACAGTGGATGATGATTATTATTTTTGTTACTATTGTTAGCAATGACCTATTCTATTCTAAAGTTGTGATCCTTGCATACTGACTGTAGCAGGTATATAATAGGACAAACTCATGTCAGCAAAAATCAGAAACTTATGTTTCTGTGCCGGCCTATTGCTGTCACCGTGCCATAGCATTCCCCACCCAGCCCCAAAGAGGTGCCACCCACATTCGCGGAGATAGCACCAACGGCCACAAGCACATCACCTGGGAGCGAGCTAAGAGCAGTTTCTGCTTCCCACATCCCAAGTCTTCCACCTGTCTACTACCCCTGTCCTCCACCCTCTTTCCAAGTCCAAGTCCACCATCTTCCTCCCTCACCCCCTCTTCTAGACCGTCTTCAGACGGTCCAACGAAGCTCAGCGCGGCTTCGGCACGGAAGTTCAAGGCCCAGAAGGAGCTGTGAATCTCCACCTCTCCTCGCCCTGGGCTTCGACGTTCACAGAGTCGGCACCTGACCGGTGACGTCGAAGCGGTGCCGAAGCGCAGGTGTCGAAGCGCTGTTCGAGCGCCGCGACAAACAAGGCTTTGCGTGCAAGCAGATAGAGATCCCCTTTCATCCTCGTTCCACCTTCTATTCTTTCATGCTCAAAAGATCTCAAAAGCTACAGTAAATAAAGATGGCTCTAACGACACACATACCCCATCATACCCCCTTCTTGCGTGTTCGACGAGACAATCTTCACCAAGTGGCTGGGCTCCCTTGTGAGCCTTGGAGGAGTCAATCTCCACCACATAGGGTTCGCACCTCAAAAAAGACACAGCCCCCAAACCGGACCCTCCGCAAGCCAGCCCGAGGAGCCCCAGGAACCCCAGAAACGAGACTAGGTTGGGCTGTGAAAATTGGACATCCAAATGGCTGTGGGTCAAAACCCGAAGGAACCCAGGTTGTCAGGCTGACCACTCTTCAAAAAATCAGAATAAAATGGACTATATAGTGAGGGGGTCAACCTAGCAGGGTGAAACAGGCTCCGTCCTCGAGGCGACCAGGGCTGCGGGTCGATCAGCAGCCACCACCGCATGTCGAAGCAGCTTCAAGTGGCCTCGGACTTGGGCTGGTGACACGAAAGATTTGGACAACACCCTGAACAACACAGCTAGCTACTGTACCTCTGACATCCCCAACCTACTCTACATCATTACCCGTCTTACCCCTTCACTTGCCACAATCTGAGACTTCACCACTCGTTTCTACTCCCTACGTGCAGCCAAGAGCGTGCTTGTCTGAATTCAGTCTTGTACCAACGAATGTCGAGTTTGGTCCCACATCATCCCAAATCAATCAATGATTCTGACACATTGGTTTGAACGCTCTCTCTTTTTTTCCAGGACCGCCGTGGCTGCAGTGGTGTTTACACCAGCAAAAGCCTGAAGTCCTGCCGCCCCAGGGGCCGTCTTCGTCGACGATGCGCAGTGTGGACTCGGTGCAATCAGATGTGTCGAACGCGTCACAGCACTTAGGGCTGCAGGAAAGAAAGGACCGAGGCCAAGGAAAAGTGTCTCCAAAAAATACGAATGAAACAAACGAAAGAGTTCAAGACAGAGAGAGTGAGAAAAGAGAGACAAAGACACACCCGCATGCGCGGGTGTATTTTGACTACGAGAAGGGCATTGCTGTAGCATCCATACGAGGCCCGAGCTGTAGCATCCATTCCCAACTCCAAGGACAGTTCGGAGCATTGCGACGCAGTGCCAATGACCGCCATGGCACCAACCTCGGCGTGTCAGGTTTCTGCCAGCGAAGCAACGACACTGCTGTGTTTCTCCTTGGTAGATGGCCAATGGAGGCGTCTCAAAATCGGAAACGTCAAACCGGACATGGGATTTCTATGCGCAACCAGTTCTGCATGCTTTTTAGCTGTTGCACTGCAGAGTCAGATGGGAAACAAGAAGCTGGAAACCCCAACCTCGACGGCTGCCTCTGCAGCTGCTTCTGCAAAGGAGCAGCCTGCTCAGATCCGGTCAACCAGTTCAAAGGAGCGACCTCTCAAATTCTTGTCACTCAATTCGCATGATGTCAAATTTCTGAATTCTTGTCACCTTGATCGATGTCAAAGAATCTCACAACGTGGATTCTGAATCGCTGCGTCCTCTTTCAGGCTTTGAGTTAGGCCTCTTTCTTCAGATTCACAAACAGTACAGTATATTAAAATTTACGACCACTCATGGAACTCCACATCGATTCCCGCCAAAGCGCCAAACCGCTAAACCAAATGCTTTCTGCAGCAGTTCACCTTCCGTGCCTTCTTCTTCCAGGCAAAGCACCCAGCAACGGCATTTGGCCGCAAGGCTGCGAACTTCCTCCTGGCAGCGCTTCCTGAGGCGAGCCGTTGGCGTTGGCTCAGTCCAACAGGAAGTTTGTCATACATGCACCTGGATTAAGGAGAAATGTTTGCATACTTTAATATGTTTGCACTTCTTTCTGGTGCTGGAACCTTCTTTCACCAAGATGCGAGAAAACAAAGCGATATGACTCATATCATATGAGAAAAAGGGGACGAAAAAAGACCTGACCTGAACTCCAAAAAAACCACCGGGGTCGCCCAAAAAACGCTCGCTGTCCGCGGTCAACCGATGTTTTTGTTTGCCCCGGGTGGACCGGACGACGGTCCCCGCCCTCGACCGGGTCCGGGCCGGCCGTCGGTCGTTGGGCCGTCACCAAGCGTCACATCCTCGAGGCTGCGGGCCTTCACGGCCATGGCCACCGCCTCGTGCGGCTCCTCCTCCTTTTCCTTCGAGTAGAGACCCCACGTGACGACTCCACATGAAAAGCGGAGCTAAAAAGAGAAAAGGCGGAGAACGCGGAACAAAGAGAAAATAGATGGGTGAACATGGGTGAAATTCCAGGACTCTGAGAACTCCAGACCGTGTGAAATGAAACAAATGGATGCCCCATCAACCTTGTGTGGAAAGGATGACGAGTTTAACTGCTGCAGGTCCCTAGCGGTCTCAATGTTCTGAGCCACATCTCATCACAAAACGCATTATCGGCCCAGGCAGCCAAGTGGCAGTGACATCAGGCAAATGGAGTTTCTTCACTTCTTCTCCCACCTCAATGGCCCAAATCGCGGACTTGATGGCCCTGCAGCCCTGCATATGTGCGCTTTCCCAAGGATTGACCCAGCTGGAGGGGTTCTTGGCAAGTTTGCAGACCGAATCGACGTCATGAGAATCTTTCGTCGCTTCTCAACTGCATGTGCTCCACATTCTTCCACATCTTCGACTCCAGCTCGATTCTTTCGCCAAGAGACAATCCTCCAGCAGGACCGTCGAGCTTGTGCCGTCTCCTACAAAACCCATCCGCCACACAGCGACCAGTCGCCACACAGCGAGTCGACTCGCCCAAGTCGTCGCCCGTGTTTCCAACCGCGCGTCTCGACGTCGCCGTCTCGCCTGCCACACGGCGCGGCCACTCTTGAGAGGCACTCCAACGTGCATCGTGGCCAAGGAAAGGCCTGCATTCGAATCATTCGATGCAACATTCGAGGTCGGTCTCTGTCTCTGTGTGTTGAGGTCGGTGGTCTTTTCGCGATGCCGTAACAAGTTTAGCCCCGTGTTTGAAGACATAGAAACATGTTAAAAACATAAAACAAGTCCAACAAACGGAAGCGCCTTCAATGTTGCACACAAGCTGATCCCGGTTGAAGACTCGAACCTTGGAAAGCTGTATTGGAAAACAACATAAAACAACATGGATATCGGGATATCGGATAGTAGACTGTTTTTGTAGCCTGAAAATTCTGCACCAGAAGCCGAGGATCAGGCATCCACGAACTCTTCACCTGATATGACAGGTAAGAAATCAAAGGAAAATTGACAAAAGAATCATGAAATATCATGACACTATAATACACTATATTCTAAAATTTGTGACAAACGAATCAGTGGACAAACGATTTGGAAAGTTGGACAAAAGATTTGTAGGCGATTGTCATGACCAAATCAATTCCAACACGGACAATCATGCCCATCGTCTACAATGACCCCCCAATGACTCAATGACCCATTAACTGCAAACAACCCCATGGGGGTGGTGGGGGTGTCTCATCAATTGAAAACACCCCCTTGAGTGTTCGGTAGTTCCTCGAGATGCGTCCATCAACTCATTGATTGGCGAGTATCCGCTGCCAGGTGAAACAACCTTCTTTGATTTCCTTTGACGTAACCTTTTCGGAACATATGAAAATATATTATGAAAATAACTAATTGCTTAAGAAGAAGAGTCAACCTGAAGTCAACCTTCCAGAGACGTCAACCTACCAAGCTGGGCCCAGGCTTTGCCCCCACATTGAACTGGTCAACACCACCCTGAAAACGCGCCACGAATTCTCATCTTTTCCAGGGAGCCCCGCGCGACGCCGAGGGGTTCGCTCGTTCTTCCCCACCTTGAAGAACTCGGCCCTCGGAGCTCGTCAGCGTTGCTCCGACCTGGAACAAGAGGACGAAACCGCCACGACAGCGGCAAATCCGACATGAACACCACGGGAAAAGGGGAGGATGCCGTCAAAGGCCCAATGTTTAAAGGTTTAAATGTATCGGAAGGGCATGGCGCACGCTGTATTCTATGCCTTCACGTCAGCCGTGGCCTTGATCAGCAAGAGAATAGATTTTGGAATGCCCCCTCAGCAGCCCCTGACAAGGGAGTGTTTGCCTCCATGTTGTCGGACGCATGGTTGACGACAGATTCAGCTTCAGTCAACAAACGGACACAGTTTGCATGGCCGCAGCCAGCTGCAAGGGCCAACGTTGTCAACTTTCGTTGTGCCAGCTTCAAACAACAGCCGGATGATCTCTACATGCCCGTTTTGAGCTGCTTGGCATGCCTGCATGTTCCATCTACGGTTCAGAGCAACGAGCAACGAGGGTCTTGGAGCAACTCTTCACCTCAGAATCCTTTTCCTCATGCCAGCCGGCCAAAATGGGACCCGAATCCGTAGGACTTCGCTGGTTCAGAGGTAAACACCTCGTTATTTGGAATGGTGCGGACCCCATCGTTGGACAACAACCTTTGCCGAAATCTGGGCCACTCCAATCTGTGCTGCCGCCAACTGCCCCAACAGCAGATTTCCCCTCATATTCTTCCACAACAGCAATCACCTCACCGGATACTGCTGAGCAAATGGAACACATGAACTCGAAGAGCTCTCTGTGCTGATATCACAGAATGACTGTACAAAAGGCGCTGGTTCTTTGCGAGGTTGGCGATTTATTTGCAAGCAATTCGGAGAAAGGAAGAGCCGAGTGTGATTCTGGAATCCTGGAACATCAGACTTGCTGGTTTAGCCCTTCGTTTCTACTGGCCAAAGACGAGTGAGTCTTCCTCGTCTTCCAGAAACCGCCGCTCGCCCGAAGTCGCATGAATCAACCTCTCGGCCACCCGGGAAACCGCGGGTGCCCAGACCCCTCGGGCGTGTGGTGTCCACGTGCGTGCGATCACGTGCAGGTCTTTCCGTGCCTTTGCCGTCAGCCGGCGGATGGACTGCGGAGCACCTGCCAAAGACTCCAAATGGTCAATGACATATTGACTATGTAGCACTGGAAATGTCACAATGGGGGTCGATGTAGTACTAAGTTAAATAACATGCTCCATACCACAGAGTATGTTTCCAAACTCCGATGCCTGGTTGACTTCGCTCAGAACTTAGGAAACACACCTGGTTCGGTGTCGCGCCGGCGCTCCCGGTTCGGATCGTCCAGCCTCGCATCCCCAAGGGATGAATCAGAGAGGCCAGCTGCATCGCAATGTCCAAGTGCGCCGGATCCAGGACAAAATCTGGGACGGATGCACCAACCAAACAAGAAACATGATCAAGAAGCCAAGAAGCACACCAATGAGTTGAACGGATGGATGAATTTTGATTAAATGAAGTAACCAAAACATTAGCCAGAGTGGTTAAACTGTTTACACATTTAAACACTCAAGGAGGACGACTTTGAAGGATCGTCCGATCATGTCCAGCCTCGCGAAGCACTGGTCGGCATGGAGCACACAGCTACACTTCCCACACCGAAGCTGTGGCCTCGAAGCTGAGAAAATCCTTGTGCCAAGTTTTGGTCATGTGCCTCTCTTTGCACAAGAAACTACAAGCGGTGGCTTGTAAAGAAAATCATGCTATGACGTGTCCAGCTTTGTTTCACAATGACAGAGTATGACAATATGATGCATTGTTCAGTCGAGAGCAACCTAAAGAAAACAACATTTGGGCATTCAACTCCGCAACATGCACCTTGGAAGTCTGGCCCATAGAAGTACCCAGCTGCAGAAAAGTTCTCCTCGGTGATTCAACACACCACCGGTCTTCCATGAAACACCAACGGCTGTTCGATTCGTCCGATTCGTCCCAAGCAACGTAGATTCTCTCCACCGGCGTCAGCGTTCCCTGAAGTCAGGGCGCGCTCCAGTGGTGAACGGAGGATGGAGGAGCTCTGGAGGGCTTAGAGAGTCCAAACGAGTCCGAAAATCTCCAAAAACAGGCCTCGGATGGTGGCTCTAAAAAATGAGACATCAGTTGGAACAAGACATCAAAATGTAACATCAGTTGGAAAAGGAGGCAATCTCTGCCATGTTCAGTTTTTCCGTTCATTTCGCCATGCGGTGGCCGTTCACGACCCGCCACAAGCCGAAACGAATCCGTTCACGACCCGCGTCGCATCCGACCCGTCGCATCCGACCGGCGACCGGATCACCCTTTAGGCACCTGAAACCTCGGACGCTGCACCAGGTCCGCGGCCGTAAAGTTGGCCGTACAGTGCAAAGCCTCTTTGGAGTCCTTAGACGGTTGGGAGAGACCGGAGACCGGAGACAAGGGCCAAAGGGAGACGACATCTTCGGGGGACGGGACGGAAAGCAAAAACAGAATAACACATAGAAAGCAAGAAACATCCCATGAGCCAAACAAAAAAATATGTCTCCGTCCGAGAGGTTTTGCTGTTTGAAATGATTCGTTGGGTAGGGGGTGTTTGTGAATGAAGCTCCTTTGTCTTGCTGCCCGCCGAGGCTCTGCTTCATGGCCGTCAGCTCGGCTGCTAAAGCGGAGTGAACCACCTGAACGCAGCAGCGCGGATCTTCTGAGCTTCCAGAAACACAAAAGGCTTCAGTTGTGTCAGTGAAAGGAACACAGAAGCGAAAACAACCACAAAGAAACAGCAAAAAAAACAAATATGCAAATAACACAGACCCACTTGGCAGAAGCGTCTCTTCTTTCAACTGCTCATGAGTTCACTTCCGAGGGCAAAGAATCCCGGAGCAAGCTGCTCAACGCAAATCCCACCTGAAGTGGTCTTAGTGACTGAGAGCGTCAATTGACGAACACTTTGCAGCTCCAATGGCATCAGGAATTTCACGTCCTCGCATGTCATTGGCTTCATTCATCACCAACTTTCTAGGCCACCACTTGAACTCAGGCAATTCAGTATGCAGGACTGAAGGGTCTTGGCTTCAAGGTTGAAGCCAATCCCGTCACTTCGACTGCCCCGCCCCGTCCTGCAGCTGCACCGTCTCCGTGCCCAGGATCTGCGACGCGACCTCCAGCGCCAGCGACAGGAGCGCGGAGCCGGGCAGCACCTCGGAACAACAGGTGAGCAACCACAGAGCTCGAGCTGTGCCAAGCCCAGAACCGGAACCTACACGGAACGACCGGCGATGCTCACAAGACCTAATATAGAGTCCAAAATGCCATCAGAGATCGCCTACGAGTGTCTGAAGAGACCGAGAATGGCATCAGAGATGGATGTGGGGTCAATACTAAACATTCCAAAGCTGTCACGGGTCTTTGACGGATCTGACCGAAAGAAGAGGTTTGATGTCGAGCAGCTGCAATGCCACTGACCACATGCTGCTGGCAGAGCTCCAAACCCCTTCGGGTGCCACGATGTCGGCTGCCAGCAGAGCCAACGGTCCACACCTTTCAATTGCAACGAAGAAATCGGTCAAGTCTGAGCAAAGCCAAGAGTTTCAACATCGGAGGTGTATAAGACAAGTCGCCCCCACCCACTAAAACGACTAAAAAGGTCGGGGAATTATGATAAACCTCAGATGAGTTTATCATCAAACTACAGAAGTCGACTAAGGTCTGCAGCATCGACTTGCTGAAGAAGTGGAAGTCATCGCCTGCTTCAAAGGATCTGGGCTCGGCGCAGGGATCTCCGCCTGCGCCGATGCCCAAAGCCGGAAAAAGCCAGCCCGGGCATATTTGTCACGGATGGAATTTGTGCCCTTTCTGAAGAACCGGTGTTGGTCCTTCTGAGGCTTGAAATCCATCCGACATCGCCTCAATGGTGGCGAGCAGTGGATCGTCGACGGCAAAGACGTTGGTCTGATGTCGAAAGACTGGCCAATGCCTCAGGTCTGTGCTGCAAAGAACATGTGTCTGTTCGTGAAACAAGCGAAAAAAGTCTTTGAAGTTTGAGGTAGGTTTGACCTGTTTCGTAGAAAACGACAGCATCCAGTCACCAGTCTGCCAAGATACACATCTAAGACGGCCAATGGCACGGCTCTCTCCTGACGTGCAGTAAAAAGAAGATTGCAATCCATGTTCATTGCATCAGGTTGGCGTGCCCAGTTTCATTCATTCCCGGCCTTGGCATCCAGGATGCGGCCGAAACACTCCAGACCATCCTTCACCGGCACGAAGCGCTCGCCGGCCAAAGGCCTCAGGCAATCTCGGCCACCCACCCACGGGAGGCTCCGACGGATCTGAAGCTCACCATACCGCCTGCTGTTCCGCCTGCTTGTTTGCCCAGCGGCTCGATGCCCAAGTCCTCCACCATCCCAGTTTCGGCCCAGCCTGGTCGAACCCGGCGGGGCCAATCCGGTGCGGTCGGTGCGGACGCCACGGTCGGAGGCCGTCCTCCCCACTGGATGGAGGGCATGACAGCATCGACGAAGGTGTTGCCTGTTTCAGGGTGAGAACGAATTTCGCGTGGGACATGTCGAGACGGGAAGAGTAGTTGAGAAAAGAAGAGCACGAGAAGAGAAGCATGGACGCTACTAGGGGCTCCTGGCATCGCTACTAGGAGCAAGAACGCTACTAGGGGCTCCTGGCCGTACTACTAGGAGCAAGGACGCTACTAGAGGCTCCTGGCATCGCTACTAGGAGCAAGAACGCTACGAACGGGGCTC